TTAAGAATCACTCTTTTCTATGTATCCCCAGTAGCCAAGAAGATTTTGTAGAGCTTAGTTTGTTTTATAAAGTGACAGTTAATTTTTTTTCTGAATGTAATTTATAATATTGCATATACTTTTCCAAATTACATGTGTACCCCAGGAGAATCTCATATGTACCCTGGCCATTGGGGGTAGGGGGTTGGGAGTTGGGGACTGCCTCCCCAGATGAGAATCACCCTTAAAAGAATTAAGAAATACAATAGATTATACAGTACATAGAAAAACCTACTTTGAATTATAATTTTTACTTGATATTAAGTTACGTGATCCAACTACTTTGAACATTGTAAAATTCTTTATGTGGTTTAATGACACAAGTAAAATACAACTTAAGTTTGTTAGCCACTAAAATTCCATACAATTTCCTACTGCTTAAAGGGTCAATTTTCCCTGGAATGCTTGACGCCTATTTTATTTTCCCAATTACACACAACACTATGGCAATAACTGAGAACTGAGGTATTCTGCCATATGATAAGATGAAGCAATAATTACCAAGCATTTCCTTTTCTGCCCCACAGAGTGAAAGAAGGGTCTTGATGAGCCGTAAGTGTCCTGCCAATAAGATGTTGTCTGCTTCGCTGGTCTCACATTCAGCTGTGCGATTAGGTTCAAAGTTATCCAGCCAAGTAATCTCATCTTCGAGCATGGTAGCTGGGCTGATTCTTAACTGCTCCATTTCTGAAGCTAAGGAAAGAAAAAAATCCATTACAAAGAAAGAAGGATTTCCTTTCATGGAATCAAAATCCTGAATTAAAATAAGCAAAGTCAAGTGCCAATCTTTCACTTTTCAGATCTCAGTAAAATAGACATTAATAAACAGCAGGCTACAGCTGCTGACAACAAGGACTATGAAGGCCCCCTCATTCATAAATCAAACACTTATTGATGCCTCCTCTGTGCAGGTCACTGTACTCTATGCTGAGGATGTAAGATGAAGGAGACAACTCTCGCTCTGAAGAAGCTCCTGTTTTGGTGGGTGTTAGCAGACGTCCTAGGGAACAGACCCATCTAGAGACGTGTTATCTAAACCAAGGGTGAGTGGAATTCTGCAAAGGAGAAAGAAGTCAACAGCACAGCAGCTGCACTCCAGGTTTCTAAACAATGAGCCAAACTCCTGAGAACTACTCTGTTCTCACTTTCCCCTCCAAATAAGGATTTAAAGCAAAAGTCCATGTTGAAAATTGGAACTGGGGAGGAGAGAAGAGTAATCATGCTCTACTTTACTGTACTTCAGTGAGAGGCAAGCAGGATTCCCTACATGATAAAATGAAGAACATTTCAGGGTCGGTCCGAGCTGGATTGGCACCAAAAATGAATCTGCCTCTACCACTTACTCACTGTATGACCTTATTCCCTTATTTCTGCAGTGGGGCTAACACCTACACTGCAGGATGCTGTGTCTAAAGTGCCTAGTACAGTAACTGCCTTTGGAAAATACTCCAAAATCAGCAAATATTATTTGCTTCAAGACGTATTACCTGAGAATTAACTCCTGCCAACCCCCATAAGATCCCAATAAGAGATCCTGGATCCCTCATTTATCACTGAACACAAGGAAGGTCTACATTAATAACTTGTTCATTCATTCGAAAGTTGAATGCAGGGGCCGGCCCGGTGGCGCACTGGATAGTGCGCCGCTTGGGAAGTGCGGCGGCGCTCCC